GGAAATATAAATTTAAAATTCCTATTGGAAATATCCTGAGCCTGCATATTATCTCAAGTGTTTAGATAACTTTTTATCTAATACAGACAAATGTTACAGAGTACTAATAGTTAGTAACAGTACTTCTACGAGTAGTACAGAGTTTCCAATAGTACTTTTAGGGACTATTATGAATAAAGTTTAAGAACGCCATTGATCTCCAGTTAATTGAAATTGGTCAGGGATTCCACCGGTACAAAGGTCACGAGAAGGTGTGGAGAACATTTAGCAAGTATTCCAATCAAACTGGTCCTTGGTAGCACGGTCGACAGCGCGTGGTGGCCGATCGCTTCCTCGTTCTGCCAGTTTGAGAATCGAAAAGAAGGAGGAGGCTCGACTAGTTTGCCAGGCAAAGCATTTAGCATCCATGCAAAAAAGATTCTCGATGATGTCCCGGACATCGTTACTAAGCCGTCGCCACGCCGGTGTGAGCGATCTAACAGAAAAGGAACGGGAGAAACGCACCGTAGGAGCAATGCCCCTTGGGTCAGGGTCAGTACCCTTTGGCACAAGCCACTCGAACCTCAGCCACGCACGTACACGCACACGCACCTCCGAACTCGCGCCTGCACATGCACACCTGTGTGTGTCACAATCAGTCGAATTTCGGCATCTAAAATTGTCCTAATGCTACGCGTACAAGTACGGAGCAGATTTCACTAGATTCACGTGCGACATGCAACGATGATGTAATGAGTGTTTATTTAAAGTAGAAGGCACTATGAATAACAGAAAAAAATATGCTATTTGATTGAAAGAGAAGTCTTTGGGGTCTAAGATCATTCGCACAGAAAGGACCAATCTTCGTCTATCTGTATTGGTGTGGTTCGTTCTACTTTTAGGCAAGCGTGCGGGGCGACCGTCGGGACCATCTTGTTATGCAAAGAAGTGCGTCTAGGTTTCATTTCTCATTCGGCCAGCTGTAGCGGTCGACGCGATCTGAAATTGTAATCGTAATGGTAAGCTATTCTGAATTACCGTTTCCTGCGGTCGGTTCCTTTGAACAAGCGTTATCGCAATTCGAAGAGCCAGACTAGACGAGCAGGTACGAGTATACATCTGAATGGGTTTGTACAACCTTGGCCGACCGGTCTAGGAATCTATGTCTATGTCTAGTTCACGTCTAGCCAAGCTGAGCGTGACTAACAACTATCGTTCTTTCTATCGTTCTCCTCGAGGTCGCAGACAGGAACTTGTATAACACGTGAAAGTATTCAAGTTACGTAAACCGTGAACTGTACTCTGGACTTCGTACGTTCGATACAATTAGCTGCTCGTAATATAATATTGAGAAATAAATTATTAAGAATTGTTCATAATTGATAATTTGATTATTTTCTGTATCAGGTAACAAGCAATACCACAGCGCTAAAGTCAAAATATAGGAACCAATATCGAATGTGTGCGCTTATGTGTTTTCATTCGCGTTCTCGTTCAATTGTACCAAGGATCGGGTTTTCGTTGCCAATTAATTATTATCGGATAGAGAGAATTACGGCACCGCGCGACCTGCAATTTAATACAACTCAACACCTATTACGTAATTACGATTTAAATCTAATTCTGGTTGTCGCTGAATAAACATCACGTATATCCTTACGTTCTGCACATGGTTTCCAGAATTATTAATTGCAGCCAAATTGGAGACGAAGGCACGACTGTTATCGCGCTTGACGAAATTTTACACCCGCGTTACGTAAATCCGGCTACGTATCGATTCGATCAATCGCATTCGTCATGCGCGAAATCCGTTTCTTCGGCTTCAAACGTTTATTGCGTAATCCGTGAACCTTTATCTGCAGGGATAATTATTCTTATCGATTTACATGTTTATAGATCAAGGAATAATTATATACTTAGATATTTCTGTCAGGTATTGGATTTAGACTATGTATATTTTAGCCTCGAATTTTGGTTTAATCGTTATCTTACAGCATTTAGAACGAGAAGCTAAGACCAGGGCTCAGGCTAAAAGCTCGGAAATGAAACGTGTAATCAGGTTTAATCGTATTAATTCTCGATCCCATGTGCGCGGCAATTAAGATAGTACGTGCCCAGTTGTACCTAAAGTTCCCCGAGGTCGGTTCCCCGAAACGGAACTCGCGACTCCGCGAGCGAACGGCTCGGGGTAGGCATAATGGTCAAAAATCGATACGCGTGTCGATAAAATTGTAGTGAAAATTTCCGACAAATTGCCGGGTTGCCGGGCTACCTTTTGCGCGAAGTGAAGAGTTTCTTCGTGATCGCGCCGCTACTCGGCTCAGCATCCGGCTCGTAGGCGCTAACTTTCTTACGCTAACTACATGTATATACACGGATTCGGCCAGATGGCCCGGTTCTCGGGCGAGGTAATTAGGGAGGTAACGATTGCTTGTAATGAGGGATCCTCTCCACCGCTTTCGATCTTTACGAAATCGCGAATCGATCCACCGTGGGCTACGGTGGGCTACAGTAATCGACTGCGCCAGCCCTCGATCCGATAGTTCCCCGAAGAGAGAAAGAGAAGCGCTTAGCCTCCGCGGTAAGGGAAAATGGACTGGTAATTTAAACGGGTTAAAACGCGACAGTGTTTCGAGAGCGGCGAGCTTGGTTCGATAACCGGGTTATCCGATGCGGCGCGCTGGTTTTGGATACAGATATTCGCAGAGCACTCGATTCACCAATTATTTAAATCAAAAAACCACTCCGACTGGAGATAGGGAGAGCGTCGACTAGTTTCAGATTCCAGAACGCGTTCGATAAAATATGTTATATCGAATATTCCTGCAGCGTACCGCAATACGTAGGCATGCGTTCGGAAAGATTCGTACAAATAATGATAAAGGAAAGAGATAAGAATTTCCAGCGACGAAGAAAGCGTAGATAAGCAGAGATATAGATTAGTTATAGATGATATTAAACGCGCCTCTACTCGGCTAAATGATCAATTCCTTGGTTCCCGGTACAGGAAGAAATTGGAAATTCCTACCGCTGGCGGTTTCGCCCTTAATGAAAGGGAATATTTCTGTTTCGTTGGATACGGGGTGAGTTTGTTTCAACTCCCTCGGCTCGGTGGCAACCCCGACTACCGCGAACCCTGTAATCGGAATAAAGGTGTCGTTAAGAGTAAACTGAGAGGACGGAAATTATTTCCCTCTCGACGTCGCTGCTTTAACGAACACTCGAACGGAAATCGCTTTCACCCTTTCTAAATCAGTGACGATCATCGAGAGGCGAATGAGGCAATGAACCAATCAGCCTCTCGATCGAGAGGGTTTAGAATGGGGTCGCACCCTTTCTTGCCAAGGCTGTTACTCAGACAAAAGGCGACTCAGAACGTAAGACGCAATGCGATACACACAATTTGTTTCCATGAAACGAAACGTTACTCCAAAAATATGAACATTTATCTGAGAAGCCAATTATGAAACCCGAAAGGAGATATCTCACGACTAATTAAAAATAACTATTAATTTTTGTGATACACTTGTTGCTTCTCTTTTCACGTCCCGTTAAATCTATAGGAGTAAAATAAACAGCTGTGAGAGGAATATGAGACTCGGTTTTCGTAAAGAAATGAAATGCTCAGAGCATCAGGTGAAATGATTTACAAGACCAGAGGTTGATGAACCCCTCGATAGTTTATAGTATAAAACGCATATAAATAATTATGCCATATTTCCATTTGTTGGCTGTCATATCTGTGAACTCGCAGAAGTTAAAAAACAACGCCTATATAATGGTGCGGCGACGTCCGCACCTAGTGGATTGATTAGGCGCGATAAGCACTCCTTGTCAGGTTCAATAGTACGATCAACAACTCTGCGACGGAACCTTCGTACGATTTGCGAGTCTTCTGATATTTCATTCCCCAGTTATCTGTTCTTATCGGGCGTCGTACTTGCCGCGTCATTCATCGCTCATTGCCGTCGAACGCATCGTTAGAATCGAATACAAATAAAATCGCTAAAGAGCGGTTCACTGTTCAAGATGAATCCCCGTTTTCCGATTGATTTGCTACGCGCAGGAAAGGGAATGATGAATTTCTGTTTCGAGGTACGCCCGAGGAAACGAACTCGGGGACGACCGAGGTCTGGGTGTTCCGTTTCGCTGTCAATTTCCTTGACAGATAACCGCTCTTCCGTTATTCAGAATCTCACCGGGAATTGCGGCATTGGTGATACCGCACATGTGCATCCATCAAGTATCTACGTGTAACGCGCATCATGCGTGCGCCTACAAGAAATAGTATTTGTCGTACGTTAATGCTCTTGAATAAACGTTTCGTTCTCCCAAGAGATTTATACATATATGCATTGGGGGTAAAATCAGCTAAATCGCGTTGGGGCTGTATCGTCGGTGCGTTTAGGTCGTATTTCCTTTTTGTTCATTAGGCTTCTCGGTCTTTGAGTCTGGCATACATGCATGCCACCGGCTCTATAAGTCGATAAGATCTCTCACAGCCGTTGACCCACTTTTCCGCTCAGCTACGCGGCGCGCTCGAGAAAAGCTCTCACACAAAAAGAGAACCTTGTAGCAGCGGCGGTGGCCGCGTGGCGCGGCACGACGCGTCGTCGAGATTCAAACTTGTTCGCTTTTAAAATAAAAATACCTACGTACCGTTCTACGGGACGTTTATCCAGTCGAACTTTGTCGTACGTCCGACCCGGTGAATTAACAGAGCGCCACCCTGGCCAACAGAGACCTCGCGCCGCTGTAAATTCTCAGATTAAAAACTTTTAACCGGGCGTTGCCTGAGGGTAGATTCCGTGCGTGAACCTTGCCCGTACCCCTGCCGCCCACACGTTCACGCGTTCGTTGAAACCAGAAACTCGGATGACCGGTTTCATCGTTCGATACGAGTTGAAGAGAAATCGATTTCAAAGGAAACAATATGTGCCGAAAGTTGTTGATGGACGAAATCGAGGAGGACGGGACACGGGAATGAATATTTCAATTCCTTTTTCTGCTTTTGGTTTCAGCTGGTGAATGGTCTCGATGGACCGACGTACATTCGCGAGACCGAGGTCATGGAAGAAGTAAACGCAGCCAGCGCGGCCCCAGCAGAGTACACTCCTCCGGGGAATCATACTAATAAAAATGCCAACGGGAACATCATCACCCTTACTCTCAAGAATAACCATCTTATAGTGGAGACCGAAGAGAGGGCAGTAAGTATTTTACAATTAGGTGAAGGTTGAGAATAGAACGGAGGCGCTAGAGCATTTTATACGATTTCCTAATCCTGCAAACTATTGCTTCTTTGAAGGAAGATACCTGGCTGTGTCGCACGCAAGCCTTTGTGGCTACTCGATGATCTCGATTCACGGCTCACATGAATCGGTTAAAGCACGCTGCTCACTTTTGATACGGAACATGTACTTTAATCGCATCTTTAAAAGCGTGCGATACAGTAACGGCTCTAACAGCTGGACATGTGCCACAACTGCAATTGGATTAATATCTCCCTTTGTTCGTGCAAGTCGGCAACGGTATCGTGAAATCGATCCACGAGCCGAAGATTCGCACAGCTGGGTCAGCCCTTGGTTCCTCTTTGACAGGGATAACAGGTTCGCAATTATCGGGACTCGTACGGCCCTGTAAGGTCGAAGGTTACCAGGCAATTTCGCCTCCGCCTATCGTCCTACTTACGGGCTCAGGCTTATCCGTGGAAACTCATCTTGCTGGGGATTCATGAAATCCTCTCTGGGTTAGCGGCAACTCCGGCGTCTCCCTCTTCCTCCCTCACCCTTTTCTTCTTTCTCTGGATTTCGTTGAAATTTCATTGAAACACCGCTCGAAAAATAAACCTGATCCGGCTTGAATGTTTGTAAGATGACCTGTTGCAATTCAGTATAAAACCTGAACCGACCGAAATGAATCCGATCGACACAAATGTCTTTTGCATCGATGAAATAGTACATTTCGACGGTCTTTTCTATCCTCCATTTGGTTCTTTTAAGATTTACGTCATATCCGTACTTCTTTTTTCCTGGCTGACACGAGTACGCGCACACCCTAAAATCGTCGTACGTTATTGAACAGCAAAAGGGCGTGAATCTCATGCTGCGAGTCCCTAAATCCGAGGTAAGTCTCGTGCGTAGCTCGTGCACTGGGAGTAAGTCCGTTAATCAACAGATAAGCGGAACGAACGAACCGAGGCGAGGCGAGGACTCGAGACACGTACACGGGAGTTAAACGGCCGTGCTTGCGCTGCGATAAAACGATACGATCCGACGGTATCAGTGGAAGGAACGGTGCGGCGGGAGGATTATGACCATGGAATTATCGGCGATAAACCGCGAAGACTATGCTCTTTCGTTTCCATCGTAAAGGATTTCGCGTTAGAAATCCAGGTCTGATCTTTCCGGCAAACAAGTGCTTGAAAGGGGATATCGCCTGACTTCGCAGTAAGATCGGATCGTATATGATCAGACCGGAATTCTTGACAGTATCGAATTTACCATCGATAACGGCTCTTCTACTCGCTTGAGAGAAAGAACGAACCAAATAGAGTAGGCTAAACAAATAAATAGACGAATTTGCAGTGTCCGCTGTTTGGTTGTTTACCGTGACAAGCCTCTGGCGTACTTCCGCCATAAAGGAATGCAAAAACCGCGCGATTCCCTTGTCCCGAAGGAGGATAGCTAGAGGTGGGGATCAAGGGGTGGATGCTCGGCATACTTCTACGTAATACTTGGCCCAACGCCAAGTCGCGGTGTTCACCCTCGTTGGTCGCGTGGAATACCCTCAGAATTCGAGAAATACTCGCACTATCGTACCTACGAGCGCTGTTTCTATTGGGTAAAATTGCGTTTCGTTGAACGTCCCTGGCTTGCCCTGTCTTTAGTACATCGACTGTTCCCCGTGACAAATGAAAATGAAATTGTCTACTTGAAATACGAGTATTCTGCTCTATTCGGGGAAAAATCCTTCTGGAATGTAGCTGAAAGTGTAAAGATCATTGGAAAAATCGTGGAAATCGTCAAGGATGTATTGGCTACACAGTTAATCCCAAAAGTTTATACACTTTAGAAACACATTTTTTAAAAAGAAATCAGACGTCGNTTATTCTTCCGACGTCTGATTTCCTTTTAAAAAATGCGTTTCTAAAGTGTATAAACTTTTGGGATTGACTGTATAGCCAATACGTCCTTAAGGGAGTCTCGCGAACGCGCGACTCGGCTGCAATTAAATTGTCGTTTCCGATCTGGGTCAATTTTTCCATCCAGGTACACGTAATTGTATCATAAAAGAAAACGTTCCGGTTGCTCGAGTCACCTAAGAACTAAATGCCACCCCTAAGGACTATATCTTCTACCTACGGTGGCCAAGCGTGGAACCAGTAGTCCGGGCCAGTTGAACTTTGTACGACAAATTAACCGTGTATAATACATACACATGGTTATATTTCGAATTGTGTCTCGGCATTATCGTCCCTAGCCTGTACAATTTCCACGAGGACGCACTTGTACCTGCCTGAAGTTTAAACGTATTCAGGACAGTTGATACCGTTAGTGGATGCCGGAACGTTTCCATCTGCGCATCGTACGGGAACCGGCACTAAACAACACGACGCGACGTTCCGCTCGGTATTGAACTTCTTTTCATGAAATTCACCGTCAAACTTTATAATTAAAGTTATCAGAGCCGCCATTAGTTACAGTAACATTTTCATCGGGCAACCGTTCGATTTAACGACCCTCAATTAATTTGTAGCCGTGGCGCGATCGGAAAACGGATAATTAGTTTGAATTAGCATCGCTCGCGTTAAACTCGTTCCCGGGAAGATATAAAAAAATTTGGGTTAAAAAAGGTTATTAACTAGCCGGCCGTGTATAAATAAACGCTTGAAGGGGGCACGAACTGCGCGTCATCCGTTTAGTAGAGCATCCGGGATCAGTAACGCGTGATCGGTAATCTCGCACCCTATTGTGTATCGATTAATTTATCGCGTGGAAGATTAAATTCTCGGCGAAGCGTTTCCCTTGTGATCCCGATAAGTAAACATATTTATACATGTAACACCGTAATGAGATAATATCGCGGACACGCATACGCGCGTACAAGTCTACACACATACATACGCGTTCTGTATTCTTTACCGAATTTCGTGCGGCGCACAATTTGCATTTCAATTCGCAGCCCCGTGTTCCCTGTCCAATCTCGAAATAAACAGCGTCTCTACGGGATCGGTCGAAGGACCGTAAAGTACGATCTTTAATAATCGTCCGCCAGCTAAATACGTGTTACAACGGAAAGCAAGAAGTTGCCCTCGAGTTCCCGGCCCCGCGAGCCACTCCGAACCGGAAGCGGCCGTGTCGTTGAATTATGGCTGTTCCCAGCGACTTGACTTATCGAGAACGGTCCCGAGTCTTCCCTAGAGCTCCACCTTACTTCACCTGAGATTCGAACGAGATGTTCCAAAGTGGAACGAATGGCGTCACCGCCCTATTTTCCTTCTCACCGACACGAACGGAGTTTCCCCCAATTCTCGCTATCTTCGTTTCACCTTTTACCTACGTATCACGTGTCATCGGGAAACGTACATTGAGTCTCCGGTGGGTGATTCGTCCGCGGGGCCGGTCTATCCGGGTCGAGAAGCTCGATTTGCGAACCGAGCCGCCACTTTATCGGGGAGCAAAGAAAAACTGCGAGACTCCGGATACTGCGCCTCAGGGAACCAGTTACCTCGAAGAATCGGGAAATAGAAGTCTTCCCTTCTTCTCCTCTTCCCGTTACCACTTCCTCGCCTCGCTCAAAGAGCGAGGACAAAAGTGATATCGGTCCGACCGATTTCTTCTTTTCAAGTTTCTTGAAGACTGCCGCAAGGTAAATGCAACGTGATTCGTAACCGAAAGGCTTTCCGCTTCGACTCAACGGAATCGCTACGCCCACGCTTTCTAAATTAACCACCTCGAGGTGATCGCAGACTATAACGCGAGCGTATCTTCGAAATTGGCGATGCTTTGTGCTTCGCGTTAGATAGTACGAAGAATTTGGGTCAAACTTGGACGCGTTCATCGGAATCTATTACACGTCGGAGCAATTTGTTACCGAGGGAAGTCGAGTTTCTCGACTGAAAGTTCGAGTTTCGAGACAATGAAACCGCGGAATCAAACGGGGATCCCTATTACATGCGACACATGCCTGCGTAGAAAGACTTATCGATCGCAGAACACCACCGATGGGATGGTTAAATATGCAACAGGAATAGAAATGATGCGACGCTTCCGGGATGAAACGGATAGAACTATCGCTACAATTTATGAATCGCCGAAGCCAAATTTGCCGCTTTGGGTATATACGTATTTTCATTATTAGCTGCTCGACAACCGAAGGCAGATCGCACGGGTTCGCAAAAGTTGTTCCGCAGATGCGTTACTGTATCGCAGCGACGCTCCCAATAATTCAGAACGCGTGAGCGACGTGCCCCGCGGGAGAACGCGCGAGGGGTCGGGGTCGTGAGCGAAAACGGGAGGAATAGGAGAGACTCGAAACAATAGCGAGAACTAATTTTGCGGTCCGTCGAGTCGAGTAACTTCCATCGCAGTTGCATTTATACACGGGCTCGCGGCCCGTTTTACGAGTAAACTAGAAACGTCGGCTAGGAAATCCATAGAGTGGAAATTAATTTCCCTGGTTTCGATGCGTCGGGATTCTCCTTTGTTAAACGCACTTGTATATCAGGAATTCAAGTATCGTTCGTTTCAACCTGTCAAACGCGGTCGATGTTCGAACGTCGAGTCGTTTGGCATCACGCGATCGTAATGTTTACGACGGAACCGAGCGCATAGTAACAGTAGATGCGCTATCGATCGACGAGCGACTGGAAACTTAGAACACGAGAACCGTTTAAGATCTCCTATTTCTTGGTTATTCTCATTGCTTTCTCCCCGACGTTGCCTTGAATGTATAGCCGAGGAAGAAAAGAAGCCAATGATCCGTCGAACGCGTAATTGCGAAGCGTTTTGAGCCCTCGCGATCAGGTTGCACCGTTTTGAACCGGTGAAACGGGAAGAGATTGCGAAGCAGAGGGAAACGAACTTACGTTAATGACACGATCATTCATCAAATGATCAGTTCTCTGACGCCTGTTTCGAGCTGGGGCAATGCGCGATGCGTTGATTAATACGTCGTCGCGGGTTATCTTCTCTTTTTTTACGAGTAATAAACGTTCCTCGTTTGTGTAAAATTTCAGTACACAAGCGGCACGTGATGAAAAAACAGACGACGGCAAAGGTTAATGAAACCTGGCCTGATTCTGTGTTTTAGGTGACGATGGAGGATAATAAAAGTCGCAGGTACCAAGATAACGGGTGCTCGTTTGTGGTGGAGGTTCAGCCGAGTTATCAAAACGACGAGGCCGAAACTAATAAAGGATCCTCGGACGATCTGACCGCCGGCCTTACCGATCAGCAGGCTTTGGTTCACAGAGAGGAGGTCGCGGAAGATGGAACGTCAGGTACGTAGAGCAACAACCGTTTGAAAACAATCTCGTTTCTAAATAGACGAGACGAGAGAAACAAATGAAGTACTACTGTTAACGAAAAATATTCAGGTTTCGAGAACGCGAGATTATTCGGAAGCACGAACACGGGATTGTCGCAGTCGGATCTGTCGATCTCTAGCCAGGGCTCGGTTAATCCCAGTTACCGTTATGGAAATCAAGTGGAGTACGACGCGGCCCATCTGGGTTACCCGATGTACGGTGGTAGTTACGAATCCGATAGCCTGTCCCGGAAACTCGAGGGCGGTTCCAAGTGGGTAGAATTCGATAAATCGCCCGACACCGAGAAAACCTTGTTGAACGTGTCCAAAACTTCGAGTATGGAGAAAGACACCGACGAGAGCGTAAGTAATTACTTTATTCTTAAAAAAGCAACGATTGTTCTTGAGTGAAATGTTTGTTCATCGAGAACGTCGGTTTCTCGTTCCAGCCATCGATAACTGGGAAACAGAACAATTTAGACGTATCCCAAGGTTCCGGGGGTTCGATGGAGCAACAGGATTCCACGGACGCCAGTATTTCCACGGACACGGTTCGCTCGAACCCTAATCTCCAAGTGAATGGTGCCACTCCTAACAAACTGGAAATCATGGAGCAGAAGGCTTTGACTAACGACTTTGGCAAATCGGAAACCAACAAGCCGGTGATAACCGGGGCTCTGTTAAAGGACGACATCCAGGAAGACACGTTTCAGGAACAACAAAGGAAGCTGGGTAATGGGACGCTAACGCCGGAGCACAAGGAAGACAGAGCGAAGGATCAAAAGCCGGAATCGTGCGCGTTTGTGCCGAGTCATAAGCGAAGCGGAAGTATTCCACCGCGGCTGATCGAGGAGACACGGGACTTGGAGCTGGAGCCAAAGAAGTCGTTGGACATTTACAGTCAGATCAAGACCAGTACCAAAAGCATACTTCCGGCATTGAGTCCAAAATTCGAGCTCCTTCAGAACGAGGTCAGTCCCATTGAGGAGAAAGAAAGTTAATAGGGGTAGTTGTCCCTATTGTGAATCGTCTCGAGAGATGACATCGAACGGTCAGGGTAAAACATCGACCGAACCCTTTTTGAGGTCTTCAAACGGAAAATCAGGAGAAATGAACGATTATCTACGGGACAGCGATTTTCTACGAGAATTTTCGAATTCCGGAGAGAACTCTCTCCCTCCGAACATTCGTACGAAGCCAAATCAAAAGAACAGCCACGGGTGGCAGCGAGCTCGAATCCTGAATCAGGAATCCCGCTTTCATTCGCGTGGGAAACGATTTTTATTTAACGACAAAACTCATTGTAGATATCTCATCAACGTCTATGGTCGGACCCTTTACGGGCATACCTGACGATTTCATCCGAGGTTCGAAGAACTTCCGCAATATCGGCGAGACAGCTGTACCGTGAGTTATACGTATAACGTGTTCCAGTGTGTGAAACAGTGTCGCTCGAAGAGAATTCTCCATGGCAAATAAAGGAGCGGCGAAGAAGAACGATAAAAAACGGACGGACGAGTCGCGTCTGAGTTTGCCTACCTATCTACCTACCTACGAACCTATGATAAAATCATCGAGCGAGAAAATCACGGCACCGGATTGATGCAAGTTGAAGCGTGTGGCAGGAAGTTGGTACGGTGACCATAAGCAAATTGGTTGTATCCAAGGGAAACCGTGTTTGATAGTCCGCTGCCGGCAGAGGCGCTTGGAATTGACAATATATCCTAATGACTCTCCGCCAGTTCCCAGCTCTTAACTCACCCTCCCTCCCCACGCGCATCCCTCGCTGTTATCTCTGTCTATCTTTCCGTCCCACTCGTTTCCTCCTCCAGATCTCCGCTTTCTGTTCTCTCCCGTACTCGTGCGCTTCGTTCCCGCCCGCTAAATTTACCAAAGCGTGGATCTGCGAACCGCGGAGAACAATCGTCGACTAACGAACTCGGCGCTCCCCGGCGCGGCGTCGGGGATTCCGCGTTCGTGACTGTCTGCATGCGGCGACCGCAACCGCATCCGAGGGATGGAACACCGCAGTTGTCCGTCGCGCACACTTGAACCGACCGTCGCGTTTCGCGAAACACGTTGGAACATAAACCTGGCTGGTTGGGGTGAAATTGTTTGCCGAGAGGGTTGGACCGTGTCTGTATCGCGCGAGGAAAAACTCTTGTTGAAATAGAGGGATAACCAGACTCCAGGAAATGAAAAGAACCCGCAGGATTGACAATTGACTAGGCAAAAGTAGAAGTTCCGCTATTATCGAAAAGAACAGAGGGTTGCTCTGAATTGGTTTCTCGATATCCATGAGAACAGAAAACCGTCCTAAACGTCAACGAGCTAGCTTTCTCCGTCACTTCTTTTATGACCACGCATCACTCTTTCCTCCTGGAAATTTTGATGATCCCTTTACAACGCCCACTGACACCGAGATAATCTTCGAGCAAGATGGTAACGTCTTAAGATGAACTTGGAAAGTGTACTCAAGGGACGCGTGCATACGTGTATCGCAGTTTATAAGTGACTCTATGAAACACGCTTGTCACGTTTCGTCACTCAACTAAAAACAGTTTTACAAAACGAACCAGATTTGCTAACAATTTTCTATTGTCCAACAACGTAGATACGAAATAGCTGATAATTAGGCATCGTAAGTGGAGCGCCAATTACGTGAGTCGAAATCGGTAGATAATCTTCCGAGCGTCGTCCTCGATGTTCGTCGATGCGCTGTGCTTACGAATTCTCTACCGATGCGATGCGTCACACGTTAAACGACTCTGCGAAACGTTGGCAGAGAATTTGGCACTAGCAACTAACGTCGATCGAGTTAGCAGGTCTTGTACGCCTGAACGCAGTTCGGTTTAAGATTTTACTCGGAGATAATCAGTACCAGTAAACGAATCCTAGGTATAGGTATACTTGTATCCGTAAAAAGGGGGAAAAAAATATTACTTTATGTTAAGCACGAGGTTCGCGACTCGAGAAAGTCGGTCAGAGGCTTAAGATTAACGTTATGTGGATTCTAGTGCCAAAATAGTTCCTTAAGGTTGCTCGAGGGTAACTCGAAGAACGTAATGACATGCCAGGCGACTATGTACTTGATTATTATTATCTATTAATTGTACGTTTCGTGCAGATGCTGCGTTACCAATATTTCAGATTTTATACGCTTCCGTTACATAGTGCGAACGTTGTTGTTGATATGGTGCTATTGCGTATGTGAACCTACGAGACAGGGGACGCTCGACTAATCCTTTAGCCGCTTCTGCGTCTTCGTCTCTTCGTTCGTCTCTTCGTTGACTCTCGCGAGTTACCCTGTTTTCTCGACGAGAATCGATGCGACGCAACGTCCTCCTAATTGTACTTCGGAAATAAGCAGTGTTGTCATTTTCGAAAGATACTGTTTTAATTCTCGACCAAACGCAAGGAGCAGCGTGAGTTTAAACCGATGATACAACTTTTCGTATTCCTTTCTACCGTAATTTGCATACAAACCATTCGGAAACCGTGAATCCAGGACTCGCGTACATTAAGAACCTTGAACAGTATCGCTTCGAAATGACAAAAGACTCTGCGCCCAAGATACGATCCTTCACGTATTCGCATATTGAAGCCATTATCGAACCCGAGCCGATGAAAGCGATTAATTGTGAGATACGTTTATCGAAAAGTATATCCGATGGATTCGCCCGCTGGCATGAGCGAGTCGTCCATACAGAATAATAGAGTAATATTATAGCGCATATCTAGGGACAAAGTACGATACTTAAGAATATAGCACGTACCTCACACGATCCTCATAACAGGGAATCGGTTGTTCATTTCCGATTCACACGTACATACCCCTTTACCGCCCCGAATCTTTCCCGCTTTTACATTCGCTAACGAAGTACATAAGTCTAGTTTCCAGGTTCAATAATTCTCGTGCGACTATTACCAGGTGGTATTAGAGGTCTAACTGTGAACAAGTATAAGTTTTATATAAGACTTGAATGTCTCGCGTATATTTCTAGAAATATCCTCCTTGCAAGTAGTTGGCCCGCATAGCGGACCGGTCGATCGAGTATTTAGGTCGTCCCTGCGTCGATTTTCAGCGCTCTAAAAAGCCCATTAACACCTAGTACGAGAACCGGAGGATTTTAAAGGGAGATGAGTCGCGTCGTCGATGGAAGACGGGCCTCGAGATCGGCGCGGGGACAAAGTTGCCTGCACTTTGTAAGAGGAACCGTTCTCCGTTCTTTGACGTAACGCTCTGGTATTCTATCGCATCGCGCATCATCAGTTCGTAAGGACACTTTAGAGATAATTACTTGTAGAGATTCGTCGAAGTAAGACTTAATTAACGATTAAGCAAAACGCGGATCCCGGAAAGATCCCGGCACACAACCGTTCCATATGATCAATTAAAATTCGAATCGTAGTGATTAAGCGAGTGGTGAATAGAGAGCAGTCAGTTAAAAGGGGAAAAGGAAACCGTAGGCTTGGACGATATCGAGCTTTCACAATATCACCAATTAGGTTTTTTCTCTCGTTCATATAAGTTCCCGGCACCATCTCATCCAACCATTTGTCCTGACGCGCCTCTCTCTCTCTCTCTCTTCGAGGGTGACGAATCGAAACGAATCAAAGCCCGAAAGTAACTTTCAGTCCATCGCGCTACGTGTCTGTACGCTGCTGGTGGCACATGTCTAAGTCTTTTAGAATGAACGTGTGGATATTCATTTTTCGCTAAAGTACCACATTGTATATGTCAATTTATTTTGCAAAATAAATTATTGGACACGAGCCCTGAGTTTTCGTCACGAGTTCAAGTTCATCTTACCTCATCAACCGAATTTATATTTCTTGCACCTACTAAGTTTGACGATCGGTTTGATTTATTTTTCTTATTATTTTGTACGTTCCGTCATCTTCACCCATTAACTGCAGATGATAATATCGCGTCGGTAACGTGACTCGTAGGCTCTCTAAGGGGGATGTACACCCCCGAAGCGTTCAACTACCATCGACTGAACAGATGGTTCGAAACTGTTTTACTCGCAATACGTTCGACGCAAAACGCCACCTAGAATCAAGGACGCGAGAGGGTTGAAATCGCACGACCCGACTGATAAAACGTAGATGGGGGTGAAGAACGCGAAGAGCAGATGCGCGAGACCGGTGGCGCCCGTGGCGGATCTGGCAAAACGCAAAATATCACTGAATTATACATGCGCGTTTTTAATTCAGTAATCAATAGTAAAAACCGCTAATATATCCCCACCATTTTTCCGCTATTTAGGATTCACCAATGCCCATCTGCCGACAACCCTTTGCGATCACGTGTGGGAGGAGCCGCTAAATAATATGTCTCTCACTATTCCCGTCGGTCGGTCGCCCGGGGGATTTCGGAGGCTCGATTTTTTCCTTCGTAATGCGTCAAATGAAACAACGAATCGGACGAGGATTCGAGGTAACGACCGCCACGCATATCAATATAAAATCCTCAAGTTCTGGGGAGATTCACGTTCAATTTAAAAAAAAAAAAACGAGGATCGTATCCCGTGCGAGGTACAAGTTTGCGCGTTAATTAAGACGCGAATCACAGCGTCGAGAATTCTATATTAAAATTTCCGCAGATAGGGATCGTTCGGCGACGATGCATCGACAATGAACGATTATTCGATAATATTTCCAAGGCGACGCCAATTATCTCGTGAAAGACGCGAGGTAACCGGTACCGGGCAGACGCGCGCGGTTCTCGCGGTGAATGCACGCACGTCATCCAATAAAACATATGTACACATAGGTATACGTATGCTGTGCACGACCATAATTACTGTTTATTAAAAACGATTGCAAAAACGGGGCAGGTGCTCGGAGAACGGAGTACGAGAGGGAGCGGTAGTTAAACCCTCGAAACTGTGTATAGCCGTATCTACAAGAGTTTTCTCAGCGGTTTTATTGTAACTTGGCCAGAGCCCTCGCGCTAATTTCCCAGCCTGCCTCTTTGCAATTTCGTTTTCGCCAAGGTGGCTCCATGAGGGCCGTCCGGCATAAAGCGCGTACTTACCGAGGCTCGCGTAGACCGGAATACATACCTATCCATCTCGGACTTGGAATCAGGACCGGGCATGTACCTAGAGGAAAAATTGGTTCGCGCGTAGCGCAACGGACGACGAACTCGTGACGAACTTTCATCGACGCGAGGCGAGACGAGGCAACGCGACACCGCCGCGGCGCGACGTAAAGTTCCACCAGCCATCCGCGAGGTTGACGCAGGCCGCGGATAGAGGCGAAACGGGACTGCCCACCGACGCATGGCACCGAGCTCTTGGCCAATTATTTTTACCTATGGAATCGAATTATCGGGCGCGGCGATTAATGCGGATTTAATCGCGCCACTCGTTGTCGTCCTTTCGCGAGCGGCCGAGGAAAGACAAGGAGGGCGAGAGCGAGCGCGGGAGATAGAAAATAGAAGGGAAAAAGGGGGTTGGCGAAGGGCGGGAGCGTCATACCTACGCGTGGGTGACAAGAGAGCGAGGCTAAACAGGAGGTTAAGGGTGAAAGCGGGATGGCAAGAGTGATGCGGTGGTTCGCGGAACGGAGATGAGATGCTAAGAGGAGGAGGACGAGGTGGGCCAGAGAGAATAAAAGCGAGAAGAAAGAAAGAGAAAGAAGAGGAGCGAGCTAGCGCGGGGTGACAGAGGGCAGAGAAGGGTGCGCTTGAGCGTCGGTACAGATACGGCATTATGAAAACACGAATGTACTTTTAAATCAATACCACCATCGCATTGTGGGGAGTGCGCTAGTGGGGGCGGCACGCTCGCATCCCGGAATACAGGAGAGGAGAGAAAGAGTGAGAGTCGGAGAGTGCTGGAAAGAGGAAAAGAAAGGAGGAAGACGGAAAAGGAAGAGGAAGGTCGGTGGCGCTGCCGCGGGAATCGGAAAAGGAACGAGGGGTGTGATAAAAGGATAGGCACCGACCGACTGCTGCCTTGCCGGTGGGTGGCAGGAGGTGGCAGTGGGTGGTCACGTTGGGGGGTGCCCGGAGAAACGATTCAACCGGGTGAAAAGTATGAGCACCGGTTTACGGCACTGCACAGCCTCGTAACGAGAGCGACGCTTGTTTCACTTGCCGCGAGAATAGCCTTTGACAGCACGATTCGTCCTCGTCGTTTCTTTGGAAGTGTTGTCGCTGCCGCGGGACGGTTCGTTGTTAATCGTCGTTTGCCGACCGACGCACCTCGTCATCATCCACCAGACAACACCGGCAAACCAGAACTATGCCCGACAGCGATACCGGAACGACTTTGGGATCGCGTTGCCTGCGTTGTTTCACTTGTTTCCATCGGTCTACTTTTTTTTTCCATTTCGTTTCGTTTCGTTGAAACCGAGTGGATGTGGGACGCGGCGAACTCGGAATCGATTTAATTCGGTCAGCTGGATTTTGATCGATGCGCGACAGAGAAAGTACCGGGGGATTATTAAAAAATAGACGGGAAAAATGGAATAAAAAGCGGAGGGCGGAAAAAAGCGAAAAAAAAGCTGGAGCGTCGAAGGTTGCTTCCCACACGGTGCACGGCCGATGTACGCGAACAAATTGGCAGAGAGGAATATTTATTTTCAATAATATCGATGTCACGATTCTCGATGTATCTTTCGTAACGGTTTTAATTCATCAGCCGCCGACCAATTTATATGCGACACGAAATTAGAGTTCGCGTTAATTATTTTAGTTGGTTTTGCTAATTACGCTCGACTATTATGTAGAACGGGACGCAATGGTCACAAAACGGACGCATTATTTGCTAAACACATTATCATTGTCGATTGGCGCGCCAGTTGACGAGCTGTGTCAGATCGACCACCGGTCTCATGCTCGGTTAATTAGATTGATTAGGACCTACAGTAACTGTCGATTACGATCGTTAACGTCTCCACAATTCGAGTAAGATGCAAACAGAGGTGAACGATCAACCAGCCGCTTGATCGAGTCGCGCTATTGCGAAGAGGTAACGGCACCTGATCGAAGTCGAACAAGAGGAGTACCATTCAAACACCCCCTCGTCGCTCAAACCCCTTGTTTACAAACAGGACACACAAGGCCGCTGATCTTGAGGGAACGGAATGACTGCCGTACTCTCAGCCGGCCATCCTCTCCACCCCTTGGACCGAATTCCTTCGACCCGCCTTGGGGTAAGAGGGTGGAACGGAACGGGCTGTTCACCGAATGTGTCGGGCCGGAGGTAGGTTTTCCGATACGTAACCACTGACGCGGTGGTGGCATTGCATCGGTGTGGCAACCCTATCGTCGACGTCCTCTCGCAGCTTCTTATCCGATAGCGTACGCTTTCTCTCTCTCTCTCTTCCTCTTCCTCTCTGTGTATTCGTCGTCTCGTCTTGGTGCTGGTGCTAGTAAATATGCCCGTGTTGCCGTCCACGGGCACACGGTCCCGCGACACGGACAACCGCACGCTCGCACATACACGGCCGCACGTGGAAAGGATGATGAAAGCGTGCTCGGCCACCTGTATGCTTTAACCGTGGATCGAACCTTACCTGTTACTCGTCCGGCGCACCCGAGGTAGTCGGCCCGAGGCCCTCGACCGGGGATTTCCGTTTCCGGCTAAAGACACCACTTACCCCGATTATTCTCTCCTTGGTGGAACCGTTTCTCCCGCTATGGGATAACGACGAGACCGCAACCGAAACTCGAATTCGAGGACGACGCGACCTAGGTCGTGATTCGAGGGCAAGGACCCGGTATACGGAGACGTCGATGAAGCATGTCAGTACGTATTGATTACTCGAGAACATAAAAAAAATTCAAGGAAGTAAGAATGAAAAGGAACGAAGAGCGTAGTCTCCGGGAAACGTCTCACCGTTGGAGTGAAATAATTTGACTAACAAATCGAATCGCCGCCGTGGCCGCGGAAAACGCATCGTTTTAACGAATGGCTTGGCCGTTTTGCGCGGGAACAACAGGTACACCGATTATCCTTCCGTGATTCCGGGACCGTTTCGCGGCTTCGGATTCGAGGCGGCTTGTTCTCGCTTCGATCGTATGCAGGCAATAATACTCCGCGTTATATGCTGCAGCGAGATTAAATCCGGCTCGTGGTCGTGCAAAACGAATTTTAACGAAATTCCGCGATGAAAACAACGAGGCAGCACGATGGAAAAAAAAGGTACATAGCGCGCGGAGGATAAAAAGGACGAACAGGAATCGTCGGACCAAATTGTGCGATGGCGAAAGAGCGAAGCAGAGAAATAGAAAAAGAGACGGAGACGGAGAGGAGTATACGTGTATCGATACGAGCACTATTTCGAAGTACTTTTCAGGGTTCGAGGGACGCGGCGGCTGATGAGGGTGGCGGTGTTCCTGGCAGGGTCCCCGGGCACGTGGTGCTACTATTGATTTTAATTTTAGTGAAAGAGGTGGAAAAATTAGAAGGGTGGCACGAGGAGGGCTGACACACGGTAGGAAGGTAAAGGGAGGGTGAGCGCGAGCGAGCAAGGGACATAGGATGAAGGAGAGACACCGCACGAAGAGGCGAGCGACCACGAGCTAGAAGAAGAGAAGGCGACAACCCGCGTGAGAAACGGAAAGAGAGCGAGAGGGAAGGAAAGAGAGACACGAAGTCGGGTGAGAGCACCGTTGAACAGTTTCGCTTTCATTTCCCTCTTTAGCCGAAGGCAAAGGTAGTCGCTTCGAGGATGGAAGGGGTCCCGGTACCCGAGGGAAGGCAACGCAAGGAAAAGAGGGTGAAATCGTATCACGGGAGGATGAGAGGGTTAGACCG